TCTTTCCATAATGGACACCTGCTTTTTAACCGAATTTCAAGAATATTTCCTGCTTCTTACTCCTGTAAATAAGGTCACAATAGTATTCAGGTGATTTCAGACTCTGTGCTATGTAAATATTACAGCCAGCTAAGTTAGTTAGAAATAGTATAGGCAATCAAACATGGCTAGCCCCTAAGGGAGTCATGGTATGAGAATACATTATGACTATGACTGGAGGTACATCCCATAAAGAGCAAGCCTCCAGATAAAGACAGAGCAAACTAGGCTACAGGGCTCCGCAAGGGATGTGCAATATATTTGCACTGGTATCACCTGGTCCCATAAAGCCTAGATAGACGTCTGTTCCTTGAGTAAATGACCAAGACCTCCTGACTAATCTCTTCCAAAAAAACAGAAAGATCCTTGCACTTGCTATGTACAATTGATTCACGACTTCTTTCCCATTGCATCAGCACCAAGTAAGCAGCTATACCTGGAATCTTACTGGTTGAACATAGTGTTGTCTCACGTTGTACCTTCCTCTTGATTTGGCACTCACTTTATGATTTCACTCTACAAAATTTCCTTTGAGAATTGTATTTGTGGTCAGCAAACTTTTAGGGTTCCTACCTGACTCATTGAGTAGCTATTTCTCTCAAGAAACTTTCCTGCTCTTAACTTTCATTATTCCTTAAAATTCATTCTATGACATGGAGGAACACAAACTCAGCATATAAAACGTCTAGCAGTTTGGAAGTTTCATTTGTTTCCGTTATATCTTTAGGACAGGGAGGAGCACAGGCGGCAGCTGTTGGGGGTGTCTTTGGGGCCCCAGAAACCCAGCTTGATGGTGATGATGCATCCTCAGGGGATGGCCAAGCAGAGACATCCTTGCCCGGGGACACTGAGCCTAGAGGGACAGCCTCAGGACCAGAGTCTGCTCCTGCTTTGAGGAAATCTGCGTTGCCCTCATGGTTGTGAAGGCAGTAAGAAAGACAACAGCACTGGATTCAGCTCAGCAGGCATAAGTGCCTGCTTTGCAAGTGTAAGACATTGAGTTGGGTCCCCAGTAGGAAAGGGACACAAGGCTTGGTCACAGATATGGAATGGGAAGGGCAGGTTTTCGTTGTTCATTTTATTTTTTGTGTTTTTCATTTTTATCAGTACCAGGGATCGAATTCACGACTGCCTGCTTGCAAGGCAGGCCCTTATGCCGGTGAGCTAAATCCCCAGCCCCTCACGTTTTCAATATGCTTTAAGCTGACCTGTAAATGTAGCTTTTAATTCATTTTAAGCTAATGTGTACTTTTAAATATATGCATTTTAAAAACGATTCAAAGAAACCTCTGTGTGGTCTCCACAAAAAGAAAGGCAAAGAGATTATTGCATTTTTATGAATTTCCTTCAGAGGATGAGACAAGGCCTGGAATTGTTGCCCTGGACTCCTTTGTCTTCCTGGGGACATAATCCTTGGCCTGAAAGAAGTATAAAATACCTAGCTGCAAAAACACTATGAAAAAAGAACTGAAGTATTTCATCAATTTCAAGGTTATTTTATAATCAAATACATTAAAAACTTTTAAAGTGGCATTACATTTAATCATGTTACTGAGACTGGCACTGATTTAAACTTTGTCAATTTTCATTTCTGGAATTTTAATTTAGTGTCACTGGACCATGCTGAAAGGACAGGATTTGAACATGTAGATGAGAGAGATGACTATCGTTTAGTTGGTGCTGCGATAGCTCAGACCCTGGAATAAAATCGAAGGAAGCTAGAAATTCGGTACAAAAGCTTCATTTCAGGCCTGGCGAAGCAGGCCCCTCAGGATCGACCCAGAGACTGCGCGCCTTACAGACTTGGGGTGGAATCTTTAAAGCTAAAAACCACAAAGCTGTTGACTTAGTTCTGATAACATCTGGAATTATTGGTACACTCTGTTGTACTCTGCGGTTAAACACTTCTCCGAGGAACAGCCACATTTTACCAAAATCAAGGGGAAAGGGGGTAGGGAATTTACAAGAAGCTGAAAGTCAAGCTTTTTCGCGAACTAGAAACTTAATCTATGGGGCGGCGCATACAGAACAAGATGGAGGCGCATTAGTTACAGTTAGGCTATAACACGTGCCACACCACAAAAGTTGGACAGACAGGGACAAAGGTTGTGCACTATACCCCCTGCATCCCTGTGTGAAATTTCTTGCTAGGTAAACTCAATGCTTTAGTTCTCATGCACTTAATTCATACACATATGATTATCACATGCCCGTACTGCACACTGGCGTCACAATAGGACATCATTTCCATCACTCACTATTACTTCCTGGGAATCATATTCCATGTGTTTTCCTTTGCACCTTAGGCAATGTATGTGAAACCCTGATACACTTGCACACTCAGGATGCTGCTATTCATAGATGAACGACTTAAATATAAGAGGCATGGTGTTTACATTTTGCTTGCATAAGAGAAAAGTACACGATGTGAAATAAGAAATGGTCATTTCAATAATGGGTCTTTCAATAATAGGTACAAGAAGTCAATGGAAAAGCTAGAGAAGAGCCAAGAATGGGAATTGAAGCATGTCATATGCATCAATGATGTTACAAAGTCCCCTTGCAGTATACAATGTAAATAGGAACTGATAAAAGTTTTAAATTTTTCAGACATTTGTTTATCTGATTATTTATATTCTCATCACCATGGTTTGAAGATATGCCACAAAACCTAAAAAAACACATTAGTGTACATACGTGTGTGGGTCATTCTGGATAAATCATTACATGAGTCACTGATCTGAGTGGGAAACAACAGTAATAAGAGAAACTGGTGTCATTCAAGAGGACTGGACATTGGTGAATCAAAAACGTGGCAAAACAGCTTCAGCATACTTGAATTTTCTGAAAACAGTATGATTAATAGTCAAGATCACTGATACATAGATCAGATACTTCAGTGGAAAATACACATTGAAACCCTTTAGTGTATCCCCATTTGGGAGTGTATTTTTTAAAAAAAATATTAACAAATATTAATATAGAAATTTTTGAATTTTTTCTGTAATCTTTTCTATATGAGTGTTTTTCAAGGATTTTATAAAGTCTTAGATATGTAGGATTCTTTTCACTGTGAATGTTTTCATGTATTTCATAACACTCATATATATTGAATACATTTTCCTTTTTTTTCATTTTCATTGGTACCAGGGATCAAACTCACGACTACCTGCTTGCAAGGCAGGCGCTTATGCTGCTGAGCTAAATCCCCAGCCCCCTATATTGAACGTTTTGCACACTGCTTACATTGTTTTCACCAAAGCATGACGTAGTTCTGAGGGTAAGAGTGTCTTTCCGTTGAACTGTTTCTCACTTTTTTACTAATCAGAGATCCTTCCCAGTGTATGCTCCTTTTATGGTTATAAAATGAGGGCCTTATAGCACATCTTTTCCCACACTGCATACATGCATACTGCTTCTCTCCAGAATGCACTGTCTCATGTATTTGATGGCTTCTTTATGTACTGAATGGTTCCCCATGTTGCTCACATAGATAGGGTTATTTCTCTGTGAATTCCTTCATGTATGTGACAATTACTCTGTGGCCGAAACATTTCCCATGTTGCTTACATAAACAGGATTTCTCCAAAGTGTGAGTTCAATCCTGTTTTATAATGCACGTATGTACTAAATTTTTCTGTACATCCCTTGTCCATAGGGCTTCTCTGCAATGTGAATTCTTTCATGTTTTTGACAGCGATATTGTCTAGTGAATGCTTTTCCACACTGCTTACATATGTAGGGTTTCTCTCCAGTGTGAGTTCTACTATGTACATTATATTGATTCTGTGTTCTGAATGCTTTACCACACTGCTCGCATGGATAAGGTTTTTCTCCAGTGTGAGTTCTATTATGTATTTCAAGATTATGCTTACTGTTGAATGATTTCCCACATTTCTTACACACATAAGCTTTCTCCTCACTGTGATTTCTTTCATGTGTTTGACAGTAATGGTATGTAGTGAATGCCTTCCCACACTGTTTACATACATAAGGCTTCTCCCTGGTGTGTGTTCTTTCATGATTTTGGCAGTTTCTGTTTTTGCTGAATGCTTTCCCACATTGCTTACATACATAGGGTTTCAACCCCGTGTGTGCTCTTTCATGAATTTTATAGTCACTTTTTGTACTGAATGCTTTTCCACATTCCTTACATACATGAGGTTTCTCCCCAGTGTGATTTCTTTCATGTATTTGACAACTATATTGTCTTGTAAATGCTTTCCCACATTGCTTACATATGTATGGTTTCTCCCCAGTGTGTGTTCTTTCATGAGTTTGACAGTGGCTATATCTCATGAATGCTTTCCCACATTGCTTACATTGGTAGGGTTTCTCCCCGGTGTGTGTTCTTTCATGAGTGTGACAGTTACTGTTACTGCTAAATGCTTTCCCACAATGCTTACACACGTAGGGTTTCTCCCCAGTGTGGGATCTTTGATGTGCACAAAGTGTGGAATTACTGACAAATCCTTTTCCACACTGCTTACATATATAGGGTTTCTCTCCAGTGTGAATTCTTTCATGTATTTGAAGCTTACTCTTTTTAGTGAAAGGTTTCCCACATTGCTTGCATATGGAGAGTTTCTTCCCAGTGTGAGTTACTTTATGCTTTTGAAAGGAATTACTATGAGCTAATGCTTTTGCACATTCTTTAGAAACATAGGGTGTCTCTCCAGTATGACTTTTTTCATGTACTTGAACATGGTGTGAAGAAACACAAGTTTCCTCACACTGTTGTATACATGCAGATCCCCCACGCCATGATTTCTTTCATGGATTTGAACACCACTTTTTGTACTGGAGACTTTCACACTTTTCTTACTTACAAAAGTCTTCTTCCCAGCCTGAGTTTGTTCACTAACATCAGAGTAAATTTTCTCGCATTGCTTATATTGATAGGGTCTCTCTCCAGTCTTTCTCATTTTATGCTTCTGTAAGGACCGGACATCACTGCAAGCTTTTCCGAGTTCATTATGCTGATATAGCTTCTCTTCAAATCTCAAATACTTGTCTACATCATTTCTGCAAAGCGCAAAGACAAGGATTATCAAGTACAATGAGAAAGGTCCCCATAGAAATAATTATGTGCCAGGATAAGGTCTGGTTTTATATCTGCTAAGAAGTTTAAATGATGAATCAACTTAATGCCTTGAAGGATACCTTCACAAGACTCGTTTTTAGTAGGACTGTTTCATTTGAGAACTTCAAATTGGCATATGATCCCTATATGTAATATCTAGTTTCTTTTTAGGAGATGGGTACATATGTATATCAGGTATTTATCATTTTGCCATCTCTTCCCCCATCACGCTCTCGTTCTCTCCATAGAGTGATCATCTTGCCTATCTCCACAGGTCAGGTTTTCTGTTTTGTATCACCTCCACTTTAGTTTATTCCCTAAATATATTTGTCATTTCTTGTTAAAGAGAAAACACGTGGTATTTCACCTTGTATGTGACATATTTCACTTATCATTATGGAATGGAACCCCATCTTTTTTTTTTTTTTTTTTTTACAAAGGAAATCACTCTTTTTTTTTTTAATCATTCATTTTTATGGCTGAAATTATAGTATATTTTCTCATTGATTAGAAGTAAACACAGGTCTTTGGACAGAATTTCATATCCAGTTTTATTATTCCTTATTTCAAGAGAGATTCTTACTATTACTTAGGCCAGGCTGAACTTTGAGTTGTCATCCTGCCGATTCATCTTCCCACAGGCTGAGATTAAAAAAGATGCACAAGTTGGCTAAGCCTGTCCCATGCTCTTTTCATCCAGACATTCAGGAAGGCCATGGAGGCTCTTTCCAGAGCTTGGCCTCTGTGACTACCAACAATGCCCTGCTTTGAACATCAATATGTATGCATGTATCATTAAAATTTGATGGTTTTTATCTCATTACAGAATATATTCAGGAGGTACAAGTGGATCAAATAGAAACTTATGTTTTAATTTTTAAGATATCTGTACATTGATGGTTATTTATTTTTTGACATATGACAATATACGAAGCTGAAATGCAGTTTCATGCATTTACATGAGGATGATGAAAGAATTTTTTATAATTACCTAATAGATATTGTCACTAGTTACATAATGTCACCACTGTCTCAGTTGCTGAGAGTAGTACAGTTCTGCACTAGATTAGATTATAGAAAATAAAACTGTATGCATGGCTAGAAATTTTTGTGGGACCAAATAAATTTTAACATGGTTGTTTCTTTGGTTGCCTTGGTTGTAATATTTCTGCTCATAAACTGACTCTTGAATATGTTTTTCCCTTGTGAGTGAAAATTACCTTAAATTTCTTGAATAATTTTTGTATTCTTCTTCAATTTGCTGGTTATCCCTGGTTTTTCCTAAATTATGGACATAGAAATATAAAAAGGCACTATAAATATTAATAGATTCTAGCTCAATTCATGGTGTAATGTAACAAGGCTTGAGAAACAGTTGAAAATATTATAACACAGTACTTAACTGAATTACATCAGAGAGAACAAAATCAATGTTCTGTGTTTACAGAAGATGGAAAATGATGTCATCCTTACCTACAGCACTCATATTCATAAATGTCTCCCACATCACATCTCTGTAGAGCTTCTTCTGGGATGGATTCAGCAGAGCCCACTCTGCCGTGGTGAAGTTCACAAATACATCCTCAAAAGTCACTGTCTCCTAAATAATGACAAGGGTCCTCAAGGTTCAGAATCACACCTTGAAGTATCACAACTCCTTTCATAAAAAGCTGAATTGTGATGACTCCTCCTTCAAATACTGATTCCGTGTCATGGTCAGCAAACATATAGGTCAGTAGTTTCACAACAATTTTCATGGTAGATTGCAGTACAGTGGTAAAGCAAAGCAGGACAGTGGCAGGGCTTGTCCTACAGTCACCTACATTGTACCTGTGCAGTCTCTAAAGCAAAGCTCAGGGAGAGAGGTGCAAATTGCCACTCACGAAACACAGAAGCAGACAAGTATCTAATGAAGGGTTCTGAAAGGCCATAGTTTATATCTCTTTTCAAATCTCGTTTTTCATAGCATTGAGCCATCTTTCTTTGTAATTAGGCTGTCTTTTGAAATCTGCACATGGTTTCACTAAAAAAAAAAAAACTTAATTGAACATTAAGTAAGATTTACAAATAATTAAAATACTAATGAAAACAAAGTTTTATTGAAGCAAGTCTATGGACAATGAAAATAGGGGAAAGGTGGAATATTATGGCCCAGTGACATGAAATGATTACCTGGCATTCAAATACAAGAACCTCAAGGATGGTGTAAGGGAGGATAATAAGACAAAGCATATGAATGAAATATATCAAATGCAAGGAAAAGAAAGATATCATAAAGTAAGTATTCACTAACTACAAAAGGAAAACTTGTGCCAAATAGTATTACGAAGGAGGCGCTTCTTAATAATACATCAAGCAAGCAAACAAATACTCTCTTTCAAACAGTATACTGCTCTCCTCTTTTGGTTACTAAGGAGAAAGGTTAATACAGCATTCCAAACACAAAAACCATCTGCTGTGAGCCATATTCTGCAGAGGGCTGTATGAAGATTTGGAGGAAAAGTACAGATGCTACTCCACATTCAAAGGAAAAATGTCTTGATCTACATAGCAAACTGAAGGTAAAATATACTGAAAAGACACAAAACATATTAAAGAAACATCACTGATAAGCTTTAGATTCTTTAAACTTGCTCTACACACACACCTTGATCTGTGTTTGGGGATGTTTATGTAACACGACTCCAAATTTATAATAAACACTAAATCTATCATGTAGTTTATTGAATGCAGTACACTGTGAATCACTGGTTGTTCTCCTGTGGTGTCCTATTTCTGAAAGAGCAGTGACTCATTATCCCCCTTCACGAGGAAGTACTGCTTTGTGCCATGGGCTACCACTGTGAAAGAGGAATAAATTTTGAGGTGGTTAAATATAAGATTTTTACTCAAAACCTTTTCATTTCTAAAGCGTTAACTCATGGCCTACTGTATATTAGACCAGGTAGTTTACAGTGGATGTACCCCTGCAATGTTTATTTCATACTGACAAAGGATCTTGCTCGGTTATCTAGGCTGGGCTTGGTGATTTATACCCCTAAGTGTCCAAGTGTCCCAAGTGGTTGACATTAAAGGTGTAAAGCACCAGGCCTCACTGATATTTACTTTACACAAGCACTGAAATCTTTGTAAATCATAGTGACTTTAAAATTCCAGTCTCAGCTGGGCGTGGTGGCAGAAACCTGTGTCCCAGCATTCAATTACAAATTCAAAACCAGCCTGAGCTACAAAGTCAGCACAAGGTCAGCCTGAATTGCTTACAGAGACCAGGTCTCAAAAAGACAAAAATAAAGTAAGATAAATAAATAAAGTAAGTAGAAATCCCAATCTTAATCTAGCAAGCTGGCCCATGTCTGTGCTCCCAACCACTAAGGAGGTGAAAATACTATCAAAATTTGTCCCAAATCTGGGCAACTTAGTAACAAATGGATTCTAAAATTAAGAAATAAAGATTTAAAAATTGGGAGAATGTGGCTCAGTGCAAAATTCCTGAGTTCAGTCCTTGTACAGTGAAAAAGATCAATTCCTAGTCTCTAATTTTGTCCTACAGAAGATTAGATGAGATAAGCAGTGAGCACAAAAGAAATATTTATCTGTTACTAAATTATCCTTCTTTCAGTAGGCTTATGACCTGTGACCCAATCTCGGACGAAAACAGCAGACAATCCTTTACTTGTAGTCACAGGAAGAGCAATCTGACTTCTGCCACACTCGAAAATTCCGTTTCAGGTCTGGGGATTTAGCTCAGCAGCATATGAGCCTGCCTTGCAAGCCGGCAGTCGTGAGTTAGATCCCTGGTACCCATAAAAAAGGGAAAAGAAAAAAAAAAAAAAAAAGAAAGAAATTCTGTTTCCTTTTTACTTCTCTTTGTTGTTGCCTAAGCATAAAAACCCTTTTCATTCTATTCAGTCATATGCCCATACATCTTCACCATGGGAATCCATCCCTACTTCAGTCCTTGTTTCATACAGAGTCCATCCCAACCAGTGTTCCAATTTTTAACGTAATGTCTTGAAACATTCTATGGACTACAACAACTTTTTCAAAAATGACACCTCTTTTCCCTGCCACTCATACTAATATCACATACTGTGTATGTCTCTATAGATGCCCCACTTCAATGCTTTTCTCAGTATGGGTTTAGTATCCAGCCCCTTCAGGAGGTTGTTCTGAGCAGGAACACTTTCTCCTCCAATTTTCTCAGCATTCTAAATTCTTTTTGTTGTTGTTTTTTGGTGGTTTTTTTTTTTGAGACAGGGCTTTGCTATGCAACTTATGCTGGCTATGGACTCACTTTGTAACCGAGATTGTCCTCCAACTCCCAAGGATTCTCCTACCTCAACTTCCACCTGGCTCAGTACTCTGAATTCCTTTTTTTTTTTGTCTTTCTCCTTTTTATCGGTACCGGGGATCGAACTCACGACAGTCTGCTTGCAAGGCAGGCGCTTATGCTGCTGAGCTAAATCCCCAGCCCCAGTATTGTGAATTCTATGGAATGCCTCACTGAAATAGTCTCATTGTAAAGAATATTATGATTAGTTAGCATTTAAATAAGGCACCTAGCAGGGAAATGCCTTGAGCCAGAGTTGGGTAATTTGCCATTTTGACAATTAAAATGAGAATGGAAGAACCCACCGGTAATCCCAGGCTGAGGCAGGAGGATCACCTCAAATTCCCTATCAGCCTAGGCTACACAGTGAGTTCAAGGCCAGTTTGAGTTACAATGTGTGACCTTGTCTCAGAAAACAAACAAAAGAAAGAGGGAAGGAGAGAGAATAGAAAAATTTAAACGACTTTTTCTCTAAAGTTCCAGTTTCCTTAATGCCCTGTGTGTTAAGAAAATGAATTGGAGAGCTCCAGTTCAAAGTTTTTTGAAATCCACAGATCCATCTGTAATAGGTGGTCACTACACAATTGAGCAATTACTGGGCTCTCCTTCTTTGCAATTAACTATCGATTGAGTGGTCATATTGGTACCAACTCGACATACTGCCTTGAAATCAGGGCGCTATTGTGATTTCTAGTAAAATCTCTCCTAACAACCTTTTTTTGGGCGGAGACCTAATTCTTCAGAGTGTAAGACCACATGAAGAACTCTATTTACGTACTACCGTCATTGCGAATAGAGGCCTCACATAAAAAAGTTAAAGTGACTTTTTCATTGCCAAGTATTTAATCCAGGGTTTCCCTAAAGCGCCTGCAGTCTCCTGCCAGGTGGAAACACAACTACGACTGGGGCCCCCAAGGAGGCATTCTGGGTTGGCAGTGTCTGAGGGGACAGAACGCTGGCGATGTCGAATGGTCCCTGCCTGAGCGAAGAACGAAAAGGTGATGCAGCAGCAACAGACCAGAAAGACCTCAGGATGTACAGCTAAGCCGGGAGGCTACAGCTCGCCAGAGCTGGCTCTGTGCACCTTCTCCAAAAACGCACCGGACTGCATCCCATCCCCAGCCCGTGTCCCAAAACATCACCATTGCCTGGCTTGAGATTCTCCCAGGATGGTTCTAACGAAGCTCGTAGCCAGGAGAAATTGTAGAAAAGGGGGTTTCGTCAGCTGGGGGATCCCACCAATGCAAACACTGAGCTCACTGTGGCGCCATGACACAGGAAATGCCTGTACCTCGGCACACCTGATTGGTAGAGCGGACAGCTGCACCATCATCGCTGATTGGCTCCTGCTCCATTGCCAGCCGGCTGAGTTGAGGGTGACAAGTGGAACAAAGCTCTCCCAGCCTACGTGGAGCTCAAAAGGAGACTGTAACCCTGGAACTTCTGGGCCCATCTCAATCTCACCTCTTTTTTTTTTTTTTTTTTTTTTTGTCTTTTTCCTTTTTATCGGTACTGGGGATCGAACTCAGGACTGCTTTACTCCTGGCTTTACAGAGCTACCCTGGTTTTCTTGATGGACTCAATGGACTCTTCCTGACAGTGGGTCACAAGTGTGCTCAGAGGTTCGCTGTCCTATGGAAGAGTAAATCCCCTGGTGACACAAAACATCAGGAATCCACGTGTGCAGTCAGAATGGAATCCTGGGGAGGGGCTGCTGTTGTGTCCGAGGCAGTAATCTTCATTGCCTGGATTTTCAGTCTCTCTCTTGGTCTATTCATATCCATCCGACAAAATAAACATATGGCCCCTAACAGGAATACAATTATTGTCCAAATGAACAAATCAGACTTAAATGATAGAAGTACTGCAAAAGAGTAAAATGAAAGAAAACCAAACATTCCAATTCCCTCACATAAATTTAACATTTCATCCCGGATCACTAAGAAAAGCCTGAATCCTGAAGATAAACATAAGAGCAAAGCAAGAAGGCCAGAAAGACTTGTTGCAAGGCCAGAATGATTTGTCGCTGTTGTTTTTTTTCTAGAACAATTTCTGATAAAGAGGCTCATACCTGATCCACTTGATCACTTTATGGTAATGAGGCTGGAATATAAAAGGGTTTTAGACTTTAAGCTTCCCAAACTCTAGGGGCCCATCATAGATTGAAATTTTTTACCTTTCAACATATATATACCTAGAAGAAAAAATATTACTTGGAGTCAGGTGATACACTCTTGTTTGAAAATTGTTTGGCTTGAGAGATGTACAGAATATTAATAAAGCATGCTTCTTGATGTGTATGGTTGTGTCACGATGGTGTGACCTAAGGCACAGACTTGGACTCTGGCTGTGAAGACTTGAAGATCCTAGCCTGTGGAGAAGTCTTAGAATGCAAAAACCATACTTAATGGGAGACTCTGATAAAGACTCAGAACACCAGAATGCCACTTGAACTGCCTATCATGAGCTGGCTATTATCTGACCCAGTGAGTCCTATGTTGGATATGCACAGCAAATCTGTCATTAAATGGGAATGGTACATATACCATAGAGGTAGAGTGTATTTAGAGGACACAAGTAAGTTACATGAGGATGTTTCATGGCTCTATCACTTTATATTTCTCCACATACACCTATGACCTCATAGGGTGTACCAAATGATCAGCCATTAGGGGAAAAATGGCTGTAGGTGGATGGTTCGGTATATTATGCAGGAATCACTTGTGTGTGGACACCTGCAGCATTACAATCAATTTCCAGGACATCCCTAATTGACAAGGGTGAAGAGAGATCTTCACATGGGCAGAACTTTGGGCAGTGCATTTGGTAGTATATTGTCTGGGAGGAAAAATGACCAGATATGCGATGATACACTGATTCAAGGCCTGTAGCCAGTGGTCTAGGTGGGTGTTAGGAAATGTAGAGGAACATAACCAGAAAATAGTTGACAAAGATATTTGGAGATGAGGTATGTGGACGGTCCTATCACTAAAATGTGACCCCAGCAGAAAAGGACTTTAATAGTCAAAGTGGGCAAGCTGACACATTTTCTAGTCAATTTCTCTCTTTAGCCACCCCTTTATTGTCAACTCATTGCTCAGCTTATGAAAATTGAGGGCAGTTTGACAAGAATGGAGGTTATTCATGCTCAGTGACATCAACCCCACTCACCAAGGCTGTTCTGGCTACAGCCACTGCTAAAGGTCCCATCTACCTATAGCGGAGATTAACAATGATTCCCCAATATGGCACCATTCCCTGGGGAGATCAGTTTTCAACGTGATGACTGGTTGATTATATTGGACATTCAATCTTGAAAGGAGTGTGCTTTGTACTTACTAGAATAGATATTTATTCTGGAAATAGATTTTCCTTCCCTGCACATAAGGTTTCCAGTAAAGCTCCCATTCATGGATTCACGTAATGCCTTATTCACCATTAATGACTCCTACACAGCATAACCTTAGACCCCAACAAATCTGATGGCCAAATAAGTGAGATGATGGGCTCATGCTCATAGAATTCAGATGTCTTACCATGCTCCTCACCATCCAGAAGCAGCTGGATTGACAGAAAGGTGGGATGGTCTTTTGAAGACACAATGGCAGCACTGGTTAATAGCTTTAAGGGCTGGGGCACAATTCTTCAAAAAGTTGTATATGCTTTGAGTCTGCATCCACTCTGGTTCTTTGTCTCCCATAGCCAGGACTCATGTGTTCAAGAATAGAGGGAAGAACTAGGAATGGTATTACTTACCATAATCCATAGTCACCTAGCAGCAAAATTTTTGTATCATATGTTCTGCTAGCTTAGAAAGAAGTCTTAGTTGTAGAGGAGGGAAAGCTTGTAGAAGAAGCACAACAAAGATACCACTGAACTCCAAATGAAGATTTTCTCCTTGATCATTTCACTCTCCTTATGAGTCAAGCTGAAAAGGAAGCTTTCCAGTGTTTAAAAGGGTGACTGATCCAGACTGTCAAGGGAAAATTAGACTATTATTCCACAATGGAGAAAATAATATACTGGGAGTGCAGAAGATCCTTTAGGGAGCCTTTTAGTATCATCATGCCACTGTTAAAATCAACAGGAACTAGTAATAATCCAATCCAGGCAGAACATCAAATGGTTCACAACCTTCAGAAAGTAACCACACCAGGGAAAGAACGAAGACCTACTGAGATACTTAATGAAGGCCAAGGAACGCAGAATGGGTAGTACAAAGTGGTTCTAAATACAAATATGATCAGCTTCAGAAATGAGAATTGTTAAATTTTAACAGTTCTTCCTTAATATGCTTCCAATGCAGTATAATATTGACAGATGTAATACTGGCTAAGTCTTTTTAAACCTGTTGTACTGTTCATTATGAAGTGTTAGGAATAAGCATTATGAAAAGAAATCTTTCTTTATATTATGTACTGCATATGAAAAACAAAACATTTGCTAATCTACAAGCTGTGGGAAAACCACTGAATATTTCAAAAGCACATGTTCACATTTCTAAGTATGAATACATCACACATATATAGTATCAAATATAAAATTCTTTTTTACACAGACTATGAAGTATATATACCAAGAAAATTAAAATTAAAGTTATTGGTAAAGTCTATCAATTAAAATCAGTAACACTTATTTTTTAGTGGTCTACACTTCCCAATAGTAAAAGCAAAATAAAATCAAAACTATATAAATATTAATCCTACTTGGAAGTGAGGAATGTCATAATTCATCTTGTTTAATTATAAGATACTATGCATTGTTAAAAAACATCAGTGCACACAAAAATATTTTTTATAATAAACATTACAGATACATAGTTCAGATATTTACAACTAATTTACTGAACAATACAGAAGGAATATATTGTAGGATATTTCCAACTAGAAGTATAGTTTCTAAAAAAAAGTTTAGAAAAAATGTTGACATTAAAATTTTAATTTGTACAGGTCTTTATGCGGAATTTTCAAAATATATATATAGACTTTCTTATATTTGATAAAAGTTTGGCACACTGAATGCTTTCTCAACATTGTTTATACACATAGAGCTCCTCTTCAGTGCAAGATCTATGTATATAAAATGAGGATCCACTAGAAAATTATTTTCCACATGGCTTAAGTGCATAGGGGTTCGTGCCTCTGTGAGTTTTTTCATGTCTTTGACAATACTGGAGCATAGTGAATGCCCTCCCACATTGCTTGCACACGTAAGGCTTTTCTGCAGTGTGAGTTTTTTCATGTTTTTGACAATATTTATGTGTAGTAAATGCCTTCCCACATTGCTTACACATATAAGATTTTTCCCCTGTGTGCATTTTTTCATGTATGTTATAATAACTCTTTGCAGTGAATGCTTTTCCACATTGCAGGCACACATAAGGTTTCTCCCCACTGTGATTTCTTTCATGTATTTGACAGTAACGGTGTGTAGTGAATGATTTCCCACATTGTTTACATACATAAGGTTTCTCCCCAGTATGAGTGCTTTCATGGCTTTGACAGCGAGTGTATTGGCTGAATGATTTCCCACAGTGCTTACATATATAGGGTTTCTCCCCAGTGTGAATTCTTTCATGGAGTCGATAACCACTGTATATCCTGAATGCTTTCCCACATTGCTTACATGCATAGGGTTTCTCCCCAGTGTGAATTCTTTCATGTAGCTTACAGTTACTCTGTCTGCTGAATGCTTTCCCACACTGCTTACATGCATAGGGCTTTTCCCCAGTGTGAATTCTTTCATGTATTTGGCAGTAACTGTGAGTGCTAAATGCTTTCCCACATTGCTTACATTTAAAGGTTTTCTCTGCACTGTGATTTCTTTCATGACGCTGACAGGTCCTGTAAATGTTAAATGCTTTTCCACACTGCTTACATGCATAGGGTTTCTCCCCACTGTGACTTCTTTCATGTATTTTACAGTTACTGCATCTGCTGAATGCTTTGCCACACTGCTTACATACATAGCGTTTCTCACCAGTGTGGGTTTGTCTATGTCTATGAAATACAGACTTATCAGCAAATTCTTTTCCACACTGCTTACAAACATAAGGTTTCTCTTCCTTATGGAAACTTTCATGAGTTTTACAACAACTTTCAGTACTGGAGGTTTTCCCACATTGTTTGCATACATATGTCTTCTTCCCAGTGTGAATTCTTTCATGGAGTTTAACACCACTGGGAGTGCTGGAGGATTTCACAATTTTCTGACTTGCAATGGTCTCTCTAGGATGAGTTCTTTCACTAAGTTCAGAGTAGGATTTCCCACATTGGTCATACTGATAGAGTTTCTCTCCAGTCTTTGTTCTTGCATGCTCCTGAAAGCACTGGAAATCACTGCAGGGTTTTCCATATTCATTACATTTATTCAGCTTGTCACCAAATCTCACATTCTCATGTGGCCTCTCTCCAGTGGGAGGTAAAATGGGCACATTTATCGACAAATCCTCAATCAGGGGCCCTCTATGAACAAGGCTTTCAGTTGGCTTTAATGCAGGTTGCTGCATGTGCACACTGGCATTTGGAGTCTGAGGGAATATTTTCTCATGTTGATTCCAAGCTTCACATAGATAGCATTGTGCTACTTCTTCATTTCTGTAAAGAAAAACAGAACAAAAATATCAATCACAATAAAAAGGTCTCTATACCATAATTTACCATGACAAGTTCTGGCTTGGTACCTGCTAAGAAATTTTCAGAATGAACTGGCTTAATGCCCTAGAGGATGCATATAAAATATTCATTCTCCAAAAGATGATATTCATTTGGGAATTTTAAATTGGTATATATTTGCAAAACATAAGGTCTACTTTCATTTAGGTCCTTGATATACATATGTATAATATATTAATCATTTTGACACATTATCCCCCATCTTTTCCACTTTTTTCCTTATCCTGTCATCTTTCCATCTCCAACAAATTATGTTCTCTATCGCTTTTCCTTAATTTTAGTCCCTAATTACATTTACTATTTTATGTAAAATTTTTATATATAAAAAAAGCATATCACCACAAATTTAGTTTTCTATATTGGAATATTTCTGTATTAAATTGTCAGGTTACATAGGAAACTCACTTTCCATGTGTGACTTACTTCTTTTAGTGCTATAAGAGGAAGTATTATCTTTTTTTTTGCTAAAAATATGTTATTGTTCTTTATAGCTGGATATATAGCACTTTTTTTCCAGTGCTGACAATAGGGTCCTTAGCATTAAATTCAACTTCTAATTTATTACTTTGAGAAAAATCCTCATTGATCACTCATTTGGTCAAAGTGAATTTCATGCTATCATCCTCCTGGCTCAGCTTCCCAGAGCATTGGAATTAAAAGAAAGCAGAATCATGCTCAGGATATTCCTTATTCCCTTTATCCATATATACAATGATGGGCATCTAGGCTGTTATAAGAGTTTAGGTGTTGCAAATTATTTCCAAAACAAAGCTATTGTGAATATCTATATACACCCTGTTTTGAGCATGTGTACATGTATTGCTAAGATATGAAACTTTTACAGCCTTTCAGAATATATATAGGGTGCTTTGCCTGGATCAAATGTAAATTTCTAAATTTACTTATTGAGACATCTGCCAATTGATTAGAAAACTGATTCTATTTTTTACTCCTACCAACCACATATGAGGGTGTCTTCTAAGAATTTTAAAACATGAGCACACAATTCTATGGGAATGTTTTCAAACATGTACTAGTACATTAGCATTCATGTGCATTTTGAATACGGCTTCCAGGTTAGCAATTTTTTTTAGGTAACATATATCTCACGTATATGCACATGACTTGAAGATGAGATCCTATGAAATCTCAAAATTTATGCTTTTCATATGTTCTGATATACAATATCTAAATGTAATTTATACATTTTCATGATGTTGATCATGAAAGAATTTTTTATATCAATGTATGAGGTAGTGTCTCTTGTTGGCTATCACCATAAATATAGTTTCCTCTATTGGAATGTTTCTGTATTAAATTGTCAGTTTACACAAAATTAACCTGTATGCTTATCTAGAGAATTTTTGTGAGATTAAGTAAATTTGAATATGGTCTCATCTATAGAGTTCCTTCCCTTGGTTTTAAATTTTCTTTTTTTTAAAAAAAAATTTATTTTAAAGAGATTAAGACTAAAGAGGACAGAACAAAGCACATCAAAACAGAACAATGTAAGCTACACAGCACTTTACAAGACAACCAGATATTAACAGTAGCTACTGTAAAGTCTCTTTCTTTAAAACAGCATACCTTCACATACAATAGTATCAAACATAACAAAATAGTATAAAACCATTCAAGAGAATGAAAGTATTACACGGCATTTAGAACCAAATAACAGAAAATGAACAATGGCTACTATTTTATCTCATTTTCCATGGTTTTAAAATTTCTGCTCACACATCAACTCTTGGGGGAATATTCCCTTTCCTTATGAATGCAAATTACCTTAGATTTCTTGAGCAATTTTTGTATTCTTCTTCAGTTTGCTGGTTGTTCCAGGCCATTCCTGAATTGTAGTCAAAGAAATACATGAAGTTACTACATTATAATATAAAAACTGGCAGACAGGAATTAGATTCATGGTATAATATAAACAGAACTAAATTTGTTCAAAGTGTTTTCACATTGTATTTAATGAATCTATACAATCAGAAGGAACTAATAATGCTCTCTCATTGTAGAACAGAGAAAATGATATTATCCTTACCTATAGCAGTAATATTGATAAACGTTTCCTGCATCACATCTCTATAGAGCATCTTTTGGGATGGATTTAGCAGAGCCCACTCCTCCATGGTGAAGTTCACGGTAACATCCTCCAAGGTCAGTGACTCCTAAATAATCACATGTAAGTTATCTCAAAGAAGGTCGACACTTACACCATGAAACTGCTGACTTGGAGAAGCTGAACTGAGATTGATTCTTTCAAATATTAAATCCATGCTTTGCAGTCAGCACACCCATGTATATGCACATATTTTCACATAGCTGTTCTGAAGCTAGATTTCAATTCACTACTACAGCAACAACAGAATAGCACTGATTTTACCACAGGGTACCAGTGCTACAGAAATTGTATTTGTGCACTATTTCTAAATCATAACTTGTAGTGGAAGTCTGAAAATCACCACAAAGGGGGGGGGGGCGATAGCTAATGTTTCTGATAGAGCTTAGATTATATATCTTTTCAAATTCAATTATTCACAGAATTCAGTCATTTTTTTTTTGGATCATACCTAGGTAGCATTTTGTAATTTTAATCTGATTTCATGGAAAAGACCTAACTGAACATTAAATAAGGTGTATGTATATTGGTCCTTATTTACCATGTCCAGCTTTTCACATCAGAGAAACCATGAGATCTTTACAGATTTGTCCAATTTATTTCATTTAAGAGTATGGTCTCAAGGTCCATCCATTTAGCTAGAAATATTTCAAACTTTTCCAACTTTATTATGTAGTATTCCATTGTATAGGAAAACCGCATTTGCTTTTATGAATTCATTTGTTGATGGGCATTTGGGCTGTTTCCAAAGCTTATAAATTACAAACTGTGTGCCACTATAAATATCAGAGTACACTTGTTGCTGTGGTATGATCTTTTTAATTCTTTTAGGAAGATAAGAAAAAGGGGAATATCTGGGTCAAATGGAACCTCCAGTTTGCATTTTTTGAGGAATCCAAGAAAAAAGTTTTCAGATGTGAAGAACAAGGGGAGGGGGAGCAGGAGGAGGAAAGAGGGAAGAAAAAAGTATAGAAGGAAAAATGTAAGGAGCAAAGACTTTGTAATAAAGATGGGAAGGATGTGAAAGAAATAGAGAGGAATGGGGAAAAAATAAGAAGCAGGATATACTATGTGCAAGTACAAATTCCCTATGATAAATGTTACCACACACATATTACCAATATGTATATCTGAAATGTACCAATAAAAAATGTTATGAGTAATAATCAAAATGCCAATGAAAAAACAGTATTCTTGGAGTAAGTATACGGACAATGGTAATAGAAGGGTGGCATATTATCCATCTTACACTTCAGTGACAGCAAATGATCACCTTGCATTCAGACATAAGAAATCCTAGGATTGGCTAAAGGAGATTAAGGAGGGAAAAATAGGAAAAAATGCATTAAACACAATAAAAATGAAGATATCACACAGTTATTAAGAACTAATTACAGAAGGAAAACTTCAACCATGTGTGGTGGTACATGCCTGGAAGCCTAGCACTTTGGAGGCTAATGTGCAGGATGATTCCATGAGTTTGAGGATTGCCATGAGTTCAAAGTCCAGCCCTAGCTATGTAGTAACTTCAGGGACAATCAAGATTACAAAGTGAGACTCCCCCCACAAAAAGGAAAACTTAAACAAAATACTGTGTCACTTACAAATTATACCTTCAATACCTTTAAAAAATTATAGCTCTGCAGGTAATAGAAGACAATGTTCAGCACCTTGTTATCAAGGTGATAGCTTGCATTGAATACACAAAACACTCATATTCCATCTTTTGTGACAATGTATGGTTAGTAGAGAGAATGACAATGGATCTCAGGAAACAAAGGCCGTCTTCTATGGAGCCACATGTAAATGAAATACCAATTCATTATGTAGCTGATGTTAAACATCTCTGGAAGAAATCAGAATATGTTTCATTTAATGTCTGGGAGAAACAGGTATGTAGCTGGTAATCTAGACTGTATACTCTTCTATTTGCATCAAGAACCTATGCCTCCAACAAAGAACTTTTTTTTTTATCGGTACTGGGGATTGAACTCACGACCGTGTGCTTGCAAGGCAGGCCCTTATGCTGCTGAGCTAAATCCCCAGCCTCTAACAAAAAACTTCTTATCTTTGTCAATTGGTTTTATATAATCATCTTCTTAGGGACTGAGGTCTCCCAGGTCCCTTCCTTGCAAACAGAGCAAGTCAGGCTGAGTGCGCTTGGGGGTCTCTCAGCATCACTTTGTGAGCTTTTGACTTAGCTTCCTGAAGAAGAGGATTCTATTATCTAGTCTGCATATCTCATTTGAAAGTTCACACAACCAAAACTCATCCTCACAGATGCACGCTAGCTGGTATTCCATCCACTGAGCCAGAAGGAAAATAAAGAAAATACACTGTCTGCTTCATAGAAGCCCAATTGGCAGAGTGTAAAATCCCTTGCCTGCCCAGGATTTTTCCCAGGGATACTGACTTGACCAGCCTGCTGCTGTGCTGATTTGAAGCAGGATTTGCTCCAAACTTTGCAGAGCTGCTTATGTCTCCTTACTAAACTCTTTATGTTTGTTGTTCCTGTTAATGGGATCACAGCTCCACTACTGTGGAACTTCCAGGTTCAAAGACACAGAGAGAAGATCAACAAATCCACTAAAGAGTCTGGGGACAGGCATTGGCAGAACACCATGGACTATAGGGGAAAGTCCCAATGTAGACAGAGTGCACAAAACTGAATGAAACGCTTAGTTTCATGTTTCCGGGTTTTTTTTATCCATTATTTCTCAAGATAATCTTTTCCAAAGAGAAAATAAATCATGCAAATAAGGAATATTATTTAATAAATGAACGAATTTCTATAATGCTAGCAGTATTAATGTAATCAAGATAAAATTAACATTTTCAAGTGCCTCACAGAGGCAACTTGCTTCCTCCAAAGTTATAATGAAATCCAAATTTCTAACAACTAGTCATAGAAGAAGGCCAGAGTGACAGCTGCAGTGTAACCCTCTCAATTACTACCCTGTGATGAGGCTGGAACAACTAAGAATGCAACACAGAATTTCACCACAATATTTTCTTTCTTCCTCACAGTTTGAAAGTTTTTCTCTTACACATATTACCTTCTCCAAAATGATGTTCTCACCTTGATGGTTGGAATTCTATGGTCACATTTGTTGGTGTGAGAGATGCCTAGGATATTAGTAAGCTCTGAGTGTCAGAGTGAGATTAAATGGTATGATCTATTGATTACAGTTGCTGCGTGGCTCCTCCCCCTCAAGCTCCTTCCCTGATGATGAATCTCCATTGGAAGGATGAAGAATTGATGTGGAACCCTGAAGTAACTTGAGACCAACATCCAAATGCACTGGCAAATACAGGGATCATCCACAGAAAAATGGGGAGTCTTCATTTCCCCTTTTTATTCTGTCTAGGGGGCAAGCTTACTGTTTGTTGTGAGGAAGGCTATATCTCTTGGTTTTATGGCTTACAAGGCAGTCATCCACAGAGAAACACTAAACACATTTACAAATGGGGTAAGTGGTTTTACTTAGGTAGTGGAAACAGCACAATTTGTGAATACAAAAACTAAGTCTTTCTTTTGATAAACATGCCCTTCACAGATACTCTTCATAGACAGTATTTATTTTCTGATTGCCTCAAATCTTTGCAGATGAAAAAGCATACATTTTCCAAAATCAGCTTTATGGCAAGAGTCATATCTTCAGAAATAAATGCACAATCTGTATGTGAGATGTGAAGCTTACAACACTATGCAGCTTGTCAGAGCTAAGAGTACTTGATGCTGCACATGGATGTAAAGCAATGAAAGAATTTTTGTCATGATAAATCAAAGATGTCAAAAACTCATTTTTAAATGACAAGAATCAAATATGAATTGTCTATTTCTCCAGTGCATTGGTTCCTCTAGTAATGCAGTTTAGTACAGGCCCCAGGTGCTGCTTTTAGTGATCGATGTTCTGTTCATCCTATTAAAACTACGTCAGTACACTACACAAGTAATGCCTGTAGTCAGTTTCATAATACATTCTAAGTATCCTATTCCCTCTAGAAAGTGTAAGTGCCCTACATTTGAATCTTTCTGAGTCTGAATCAAACCATATGACTGAAATTACAGATTTCAAGCTGTGTTACAGGACCTATAATAACATTTTAGAAGTTTACTGCAGACAAACTTGGTATGGATAGGCTCAGTTGCCTGTGACAGCTCAGCAAATAAAATACTACACATACTATATTACTGGGCCATATTCTAGAGGTTACAGCCCAAGAGTTTCTAAGATTCTTTTTTGTTTTCTTAGATTTTTTAAGTTTTAATTTTTATTAGTACATGTGCACAGTATAAAATGACTACATGTATTGTAGGGAGTTGGTACATGTGTATAGGAAATCTCAATTCTTTTTTCTCCTCTTCCAAGTTTTTTCTTTTGCCAGCATTATATTCATTTATTTAATCATATACTTTGTAAAGATATGTCAAATATCTTTACAAAGATAATTATCATGTATACTGATTAACAAACAGTAAGACTAACAGGAAAACCCATAAAAGAACTCAGAAGAAAATCATACTAACTCAAGGTACACTTTTAGGTACATCGTCCATGCTGACTTATAATAAATTTATTTTTGCTCTTTTTCCCTAGCATCTCTCCTGTATTTTCACTTTATATAGTTCCTCACATGAGAGTTCCTCACATGAGAGAAGCCATGAAGTATTTAAGACTACATATTAGATTTACTTCACTGAATATTATGGTCTCAATGCACATTTTCCCACCAGTAACTCAAGTTTGCACCATTTTATGACAAAGTAATACTGAATGGTGTATAACTATTATTTGTTTTTTAAGCATTCATCTCATGATGGACACATACAGTGAATCTAATATTTAGCCTTCATCAATTGTGCCGCTATAAACATGAGTTTACTTTCATCTCTGAGGAATGATATCTAACACTTTTGGGAAAAGAAGAATTGCTGAGTCAAATGTACTTTTAGTTTTCTGAAAAATCTCCATTCAGATTTTCAAAGTGGCTGTACCAGGTTACGTTGCTATCAGTAAAGAACCGTTTCTTTTTCATTGCAGGCATCCTTGCAGGAGCATCCTTTGAGTGTGAGGCCAGCCCATGCAACATGTGAGTTTAGTGCCACCCAGAACTGCACAGGGAGATCCTATCTCATAATAAATACAAAAACAAACCAAACAGGAAACAATCTGCTGAGCGTCATGTTCTACATAGGATCATATGAAGAGTAACAAGGAGTCTACAGATACTACCTGAGTTTGAAAGAGAAAATATCTTGATAAATGTAAGCAAATTGAAAGTTAAGTTGTTTTGATATGCACTAATATATCTGATCAAGCAAACATCATTTGTAAGCCTTGGATCTTTTAAACTTGCTTACCACACAAATTGTGATCTGTACTTGGGGAAATTTCCCTAACACAAAGTGAAATTCATAATAAAATGTTAAATATATCATGTGTGCATTTTATTGAATATGAGATTCTTTAAAATCACTAGCTGTCCACCTGTGCTGCCCTGATTCTGAGAGCAGAGACTCATTACTGCTATCCCTATTCATAAGAAAGTATTGCAGCATGTACCCCTGGTGTGAAAAACCAGTAAAATTCAAAACTAAATGTGAGATTTGCACTAAATACCTTCCTTTTCATTGCTACTGACTTAACTCAAGGACTCATAAACATTACACAAGTTAGTTTAAAGTGGAGGTATACCCCAAAATATTTATTTAATATTGAGAGAGGGTTTCACTCAGTTATCCAGGCTGTGCTTGGTGATATAATACTCCTGTCTCATCTCTCGGGTGGACGTCATTAGGTGTGCTCCATAATAGCTCAGTGATATTTACTTTACCCAAAGCACTGAAGTCTTGGTAAATCTTGGTGATTTAAGAACTTTAATTTTCGGGAGTTGGGGATTTAGCTCAGCGGCATAAGTGCCTGCCTTGCAAGCAGGCAGTTGTGAGTTCGATCCCTGGTACCGATAAAAAACAAAAAACAAAGAAAGAACTTCAGTTTTAAACTAGCAAAGTGGCATGGGTTTATCATCCCAAAATGGAAGCAGGTGGAAAATGTATCAAAAGTTTTCCATGACCTGTGCAAATTAGCAAGACCTGCTCCCAAAAATTAAAAGAAAAAAAAAAAAGAAAGAAAGAAATTTGAGGAGATGTAGCTTAGGGTAAATCACCCAAGTCAGTCCCTATTTAAAAACAAACATCAAAAACATCTTGGAATTTTTGTATCTAGGAGAAACTTCTTCCCATTCTACTTCAAAGATGCTGCCTACACAATCGTCAAATCTGCAACAAGACTAGTTTCCTAATTTTAAATTTTGCCTCAAAAATGATTTGATGAGTTGATAAGTAATGAATAAGTGAAGAAATATTTGTCCATTCCTAAGGTCTTCTCAACTCTTCAAGCCTGTGACCTATGATGGGAAACTCAGATCAAGTCTGAGATAATAAACTCTTCATTTATTGTAACACTATGACAAATCTGAAGTCAGGAGTTTATTGTTATAGTTGCTGACTTATGCATCTCTCCAATGTTTCCTGATTTCCACTTCCTTTTTACTCCTCTTTGCTCTTATCTATTCAAAAAATCTTTTATTCAATTAATTCATATGCCTGTAGACACAGACTAGGGAAATTTACTAATAATTCAAAACTTTTTTTTTTTGCTTGTTTTGTTTGTTTATTAAGACAGAGTCTCAATATGTAGTTCAGGCTGAGCATGGACTCTCTGTAGCACAGGGTGCTTGAACTCACAAGGACCCTCCTGTCTCAGCTTCCTCAGTGCAAGAATTACAGTTGTGCACAACCACACCAGACTGAATACTTGTTTTTACAATGTCCATCTCAATCACTATTTCAGTTTTAAAAATGATGTGTAGAAACAGTCCACAGAGTACTTCAATTATTTTAGAGATGAAATCCCTTTCCCTTTCAAATTGTACCAAAATCACATATATCTGTCCCTGTAGAAGGCACAGTTCAACGCATTTCTCCCTGTGGGTTTAACAGTCTTTTCAAAAATTCTCCTTAGCAGAAACACTTTCCCCTCCCTTGGTAATAAACTAATACCTGCTCCATCTTTCACAGCATTCTAACTCTACGGAAAGTCTCACTTAAATGGTCTAAAAATAAATGACAATTTGTTTTATTTGTGTACAAATCAGGTGCCTAGCTAGGGCAGGGCTCGAGATAGTTGGGAAACTATACATTTTTATAAGAATTAAAAGGAGAACAGAATTACTTACAGTGTTAGACCAAGCAAACTTTCTGCCCAACAAGGACTGTAGCCACCTCCCTACTAAAACAAAGAGTTGTAGTCACTCCCTACTAAGTTCCTGAATTTTCAGAAACTTCATATACAAAATAACCAGTTTTCTCTAAAATCCCAGTCTTCTTTAAACTGTGCATACAGAGGAAATTGGTTAGAGATCCTGAGTTCAAGGTGGTTGTTTTAAATCCAGAGACATCTTTGATAGGTGCTCACTAAGCAACTGAGCAGCTACTGTGCTCTGCTTACCTACAATTACCTCTGGATTCTGTGAGCAGCTATATGGCCACTCGGGATAATTCATGGAAATCAGTTAAGTTCTTATTTCCAATAAAATCTCTCCTAACAGCCTCCTTTTGGTTTACAAAACATTTCTCAATGTTTTGAGTCCACGAGAACTGTTCATGCAGTAACACCACTGTGAGCAGAGGTCTCACATAAATAATTAAAGTGATAATTGTTTTTCATTGCTGAGTACTATACAGAACCCAGGGTTTCTCCAAAGCCCCAGCTCTCAACCTGGTAGAGACAGCTGTACCTAGGGTCGCCCTAGAAGGTATTCTGGGTTGGCAGTGTCATAGTGGGGACAGCATGCTGTGGACCCAGAACGGCCCCTGTCTGAGCAAAGCAGAAAAAGGACAGAGGAACACCTTCGCTTGGAGCAAGCAGAGACTATGCACTGCCATAGCTCACTCTGGCCCCCTCCTTCTAGAACTCACTCGATTCACCCCGTCCCTGCACTCATCCCACAATCTCACCATCGTGTGCGTAGAGGCTCCTAGAATCCTTCCAACGCAGGCTGCAGCCAGTAGAAGTCACAGGAAAGCGTAGTCCAGTCAGGTACGGGCTTTCAGAAAAGAACTCTAGCCGTACCCTTTGGCACCATGACACAGGAAGTGCCCTCCTCCCTGGGCCCACTGATTGGCTGGTTCAGACAGCCCGCCTTCATCGCTGATTGGCTCCTGCTCCATTGAGGGGGCCCTGACTGAGAAAGAGGTTCACAAAAGTGCTTACAAGATTCCAGGGTCAACGCCCTGTGGAAGAATCAATCCCTTGATATCCGACAATAATGTGAGTCTAGGGAACCCTAGGACAGAATGCAATAGAGATAAAGTCTGCTGTTAGAAATGAGGCAGTCGTTTTCATCGCCAAGATTTTCACAGTCTCTCGGTCTATTCTTTTTAGCCAGGAAAATGATTATAAGGCCCCTAAGAAGCAAAGAATTTTTGTGTAATTAAAGAAATTAAAAATGATAGTAATATTCTGGAAAAGAGTAAAGGTAAAGAAAAGCAGTATTTCCAACTCCCTGAAACTTCACCCTTTTTCCAGAAAATACCTAATTTCGAAGATAAACATATTTCTGAATATAAAAGTCAGAATACTTGCTTAAATTGAGTCTGGCATTTGTTTCACTTGATCACTTCCTGGGATGAGGATAAGAAAAGACTTAATACTGTGAGCCCCACTTGCCCTGTCATAGCTCATCACTCGATGAAATTGTCCATCTATCAACATTCCTAGAAAAAAATGACCTGGGTCCAGGTGATACACATGTGTTAATAACTTCTTTGTCTTGAGAGATGTACAGAATATCAGTAAAACACACTTCTTGTATCTGATGGAGATAATGATAGTGCAACCAGAGGGATCATATATGGACCTAGACTCTTCCTCTCAGCCTCTTTTCCTGCTCTGTGGATCCTGACTCTCATAAAACAGGTATCTTTGTCTTTTATTTCCATTTACAGTGGACCCGTCACTTGTAAACTCAATTTGTTCTTAAGGACTGTTTATGATTATAGTTGCTTGTAAATCAAGACTATTTTCCTACAAGAAATAATGAAAATACCCATAATGTGTACTGAACCTCCCAAAGCAACCCTTATCTAAACTTTTCATAATAAAAAGCATTGTATAATATAAATAATTTACCAGAAACACCAGTAGTTTTCCTAGTATACTCACCAAAATGTTATGAATTGTGCCCATTTTACCTAATACCATTTTAAAATTTCCTATTGCATTCCCCATTCAAGTTTACATCTTTGGATTGCAGGAAGGAAGGATTTCTCAGGAAAACCAGAAAAGTTTATATTGCTCCTCTAAAGCTCCTTATGATGACTCAAAAATCTAATATGCAAAGAAAGTACTACATGTCAGAATAAGTTTGGAATGTATGATTACAGGTAAATGAATGCAGGCTTGGAACTAGACGGTGTTGTTAGTGAAATAATTCTGGACTTCAGCACACATAGTTTAATTTTTTAATTTTAAATAGAAAAATAATAAAAACAATGGTATAGAATCTCAAATTAAGGTAACAGGAGATTAACTATGGTTAATATATTATGTATTGTTATCTTCAAAACAGTTGCTCAGATTAGAAGATATGTTCAGAAATTTGAAAAATTTTTCAAACAGTGTAAGCACAAACCATTATTATCATAGAACTAATGGAAATTAGTGGTACAATTATCTTAGCTGTCTTATGTGTATGTACATATATGTATGTGTGTGTATATATATATATATATATATCCCTTCTTTCTCTTCTCCTTTCCTTCATCTCAGTTGTTTTTTCCTTTTGAGCAGTTTCTTCCCTTTTCACAATATATATCATACATTTTGAATCTGATTTACTGTTTCAGTTTCTTTTTTTTTTTTTATCGGTACCAGGATCGAACTCATGACTGCCTGCTTGCAAGGCAGGTGCTTATGCTGCTGAGCTAAATCCCCAGCCCTACTATTTCAGTTTCTTACACTAAGGAGACAATACAATGTTTACATATGTGAGTATGATTTATTTTATTTATGAGTATGATCTCAATTTGTATATATTTACTTATAAAAGCCTTGAGTTTATCTTTCTTTGTAGCTGAGTAGTACTATATTATATAAAAATTCCACTAATTTTTTTATTCATTGCTCAGTTGATGGACATTTGAGATGTTTCAAAGAGTTAGCTATTACAAATTGTGCTGCTATAAACATGGGTGCATACATATCTTTGTAGTATGATGCTTTTGGAAGATACCAAGTAGAGGAATAGCTGGGTCAAACAGAACTCATTTATGATAAAAAAGCCTTATAAAAAATTGCAAAAGATGTTCTTCATCTCAATAATAGGTAGATAAAATCTACCTATGACAAACCAAAAGCCAACATCAAAAAGAAAGCTTTCACTGTACACTCATGAATAAAACAAGGATGATCACTGTCACCACTCCTATTAAACAAACTTCTGGAAACAACAAGAGTTATTAGAATAGAGAAAGAAGGGGCTGGGAATTTAGCTCAGCGGCATAAGCACCTGCCTTGCAAGAAGGCGGTCGTGAGTTCAATCCCTGGTACCGGTAAAAAAGAAAAAGACAAAAAAAAAAAAAAAAAAAAAAAAAAAAAAAAAAAAGAAAAGAAAAGAGAAAGAAATAAAGGGAATAAGGACAGAAAAGGAAGAAGTTAAACTACTATTATTTGTGAATAACATAATACTCTACATGAAAAACTCCAAAAGTTACACAAAAAGACTTGTAGATAGGGCTGGGGATTTAGCTCAGCAATATAAGCACCTGCTTGGCAAGCATGAGATTGTGAGTTTGATCCCTAACCAAAAACAAACAAACAAACAAAAACTTGAAGATTTAACAACCAAATTCAGTAGCATACCTGGATACAAAGTCAGTACATAAAAATCAATAACATTCCTGTACACAAACAACTAACTCGCTGAGAGAGACCTAAAGGAAATCACACACTTCACAATAGCATCCGTAAAATGAAAGGGAAAAAAAGAAACTACTTAGGAATTGAAATAACAAAAGAAATAAGACACCTATGCATTGAAAAAGACAGTACTTTGAAAGAAAAGATCAAAGAGGATATTGGAAAATGGAAAGACATTTCTTGCTCATGAATAGGAAAAATGAATATAGTAAAAATGACCATATTCCCAAAACTGTTATACAAAATTAATGCATTCCTATCAAAATACCATTAGCATATCTCATAGTGTTATGGTTTGAAAATTGGTGGTCAACTTAACGTCAGCTGGATTACATCAGCATGCATTGAGAGAAGATGCTCCACCTAAGGAGGGTTGCCAGGATAAATAGGTACAGAAGAAGAGAGGTGTTGGGAGGGATTGAGGTGTTAAGGAGGCAATATGGGTTCTCCTATGAGTTGCTGTGTGAGCTGTTGGTTCTCCTGGAGAAGCTTTGGTCCTCACATCGAGCATTGCTTTCTGGCTCTGGAGGGGAAGACATGTGCTGCCTGGTCTCCAGGATGAACTCGTCATGCTGCTTCTGGCACGCACCTGACTGTGCTTGTCGGAGGAGGAGCTCGGGGCCTCCATGTCGCTGAGGACAGCTGTGGTGCCTTTCAGGACAGCCCTGGTCTTTGTTTTGAGTGTGACTTCTCGGCTCCAGCGTAGAACCCTCATCCCACTAGCACAGCTCCTTCATCCTGCTGGCATAGACTTTCTGGCTTCCACCGCTGACCCTTGGGTCTTCCCAGCACGAATCTGTAAAAGAGACTGATGTGAGTCCTTCTTGTGGGCTCTAGACTTCCCGTTGGACTCATGGAGGTGTTGTCCTGAGCTCTGGGTTTTTATCTGGACTCATGTGGAACATTGTCATGGGGTTTAGGCTCTTGACTAAATAATCTATGTCGTTGGTGTTGTGGATAGATTTGCTGCATTCTCTTGTGTTAACTTCCGGTGACCATTATAAAAATATTATAAACTCCATGTCCTGATCTGAATTGTTCTCTGTGTACAACCCCTGACTACAACACATAGAATTAGGGAAAATATTCCTAAAGCTAATTTGGAACCAGAGGCGTCCTAGAATACCAAAAACAATTCTGGAAAACAAAGGCAAGTCAGGAGGCATTACAATTTCTGACTTGAAATTATACTACAAAGCTACAAAGATTTTATACTATGATAAAATCAGCATGGTACTGTCATAAAATGGATTTGAGGATCAGTGGAACCGATTAAAAGATGCAAACATAACACCAAACACACTCAGCCACCTTATCTTTGACAAAGATGCCAAATATGCTCACTGGAACAAAGCCTCTTTCATAAATGGTGCTGGATAACTGGCTTTCCACATACCAAAAACTAAAACTTGACCCATATCTAGACATGCACTGAACTAACTCAGAATCAATAAAAAATCTAAATATTAAAACAGCAACACTATATGTACTGGCAGAGAAAATAGGTAGAAATCTTGAAGACATAGGTTTGTGAGCAGAGAATTGAACAAAACACAGACTGCACAGAAAATACTTCAAAGAATCAACAACTGAGATTCCATCTTATTAAAAAGCATTTGCATGAAAAAAGAAATCACCAGGCTGGGGATACATCTTAGCAGGTGCAGCACCTTTCTGTCATGTGCAAGGTCCTGAGTTTGATTTCTGGTATCAAAAGAGAAGAAAGAGAAAGAAAAAGAAAAAAATAATAAATCAGCAATAGAGTGAATAGACAACTCATAATGTAGGAAAAATTTTAGCTGGTTGTCTCTCAGATAATTGACTTATATCTAGAACATAGAAATGTTTGAAAAAAATCAAAATACCCAAATTCAAAAACCCAGTCCAAAAATAGCCATCTGAATTGTATAGGCACTCCTCAGATAAATACAAATGGCAAATAAATATGTGAAAAAAATCAATATCATTGGTCATTCAAAACATGCAAATTAAAACAACAGGTACAAATTGTATTGACTGGCTGCAGCTATTGATGTTCTTGGCGGGTAAGGATGGCAAGATGATAAGAAAATAAAGAAGAGACAAAAGCTGAAGTCAGGCGGAACACTGTCTCCTGATGACAGAAAAGAGATGGCTCAACCACTGCAGCACTTTTATTTATACACTCAGATAGTT